CCACCTACTGTGGTAGGACCTAACTTGGTGTTGACCCATCCTGGAATCAGGCCAAAGGGTAGACCAACTCAAGCCCCCCTTACCGCCAATCAAACCAGGTTAGTCCCCCTTAGAGCATCCCCTATGTTACCACCAAGGGTAGACCCCTTGTGGAACCTCTTGAATAGCTCGTACTTAGTCCTTAACAACTCCAGGCCAGAACTCACTGAATCATGTTGGCTCTGCTATGACGTTAATCCATAGCTGTAACAGGAATACTATGAAGCAACATCCCCAGAGCAAGGCTGTTGGCAGCAGAAAGGAACTGGCAGGCTTACCCTACAATTCGTGACAGGCAAAGGATTATACATGGGAAAAGTACCGCTCCAATGTGGGAAGCTATGTAACCAAACTGGCCTAACTCCCTGTATCCATGGAAAAGTCAGCCCCAGACTTCTGTATTCTCTTCCAATTGGTAACCAGACTGGTTTATCACACCGATGGGGAAGTCTCCCAATGTCTGGAATCTAGTGATAGGAGACAAAAGAGGGAAATAGTCACAGCTATAACTTTGACCATTTTTCTGGGTCTGGGTTTGTCAGGAGCAGGAACAGGAATGTCATCCCTGGTGTAACAGAACAAGCGTTATGAAAATTTATGGAGTGCCTTAGACAGACCTAGACAGAATTGAAAATTCCATTACCCACCTCCAGGACTCTCTATCCTCCCTCTGGAAGTAGTTTTACAGAACAGAAGGGGACTAGGTCTTTTGTTCCTACAGCAAAAAGGACTCTGTTTTGCTTTGGGTGAAGAATGTTACTTTTATGTTAATCACTCCAGAGTAGTCAAAGAATCAATGGCTAAGGTCAGGGAAGGGCTAGCTAAAAGAAAGCGGGAATGAGAACCATCTCAAGGGTGGTTTGAATCATGGTTTAACTCTTCCCCTTGGTTCACAACACTGGTCTCCACCCTATTAGGCCCCGTACTTCTGTGACTCGTGATGGCAATCATTGGACCTCGTATACTCAACAGACTGGTGTCCTTCGTAAAAGAGAATCAACACTGTCCAACTATTGGCCCTAAGATCCCAATACCAAAGTGTAAATTCAGAGGACCATACAGAGGGATCATGATTGGCCCCTTAGTTACCAGAGAAAGGGGGGGATGAGAGACCAAAATAAGTTGGCAGTGAGTTTAGAAACTCTTAAGGAAAATATCTGCTATCTGTTACTGGAAAATGAGTGTCAGTTCATGTTCCAAGAAAATGTAATAGTAAAAATAACTAAGATTAGAGGTGGGAAGGTGGCTCAGTGGTAGAGTGCTTGCCTTGAATGCATCAGGCCCTGGGTTTGATTCCTCAGCACCACATAAGCAAAAGGAAAAAAAGCCGGAAGTGGTGCTGTGGCTCAAGTGGTAGAGTGCTAGCCTTGAGCTGAAGAGCTGAGGGACAGTGCCCAGGCCCAGAGTTCAGGCCCCAC